CTTATTTCTCTCTGTGTCTTCGTCTCTCTCTCTCCTTTCTCTCTCTCTCTCTCTCTCTCTCTCTCTCTCTCTCTCTCTTATTGTTCTGGAACCCTAGAGCCCATCTCTTCTCTTACGACTAACTTTTAAAACATCCTCTGAGATTTTCCCTTTGACCATCTTCTTGGACCTTCTGTTTTTGCATCCTTCTTGTCTTTTGTTTTCTTTTGCTCTCATCTGGAAGAATATCCCTCCCCCTCACAAAAAAATTCATGAGAAATACAATGGTTAATTTTAGATATCCACTTGACTAGATTAAGTGATATTCAATAGCATAATTTTGGGGTGTTTTCAAGAACATGACTCTGCCAATTCTCATGCCCTTAGACTTGCTCTCCAGGCTGCAGATCACCTAGAATGGGACTTTTCAGTATCCACAACCATGTGAATCAATTTCTGTAATAAACTCCTTGTCATCTATTTATCATCAATCTATCTATAAGTATCATTTGATTCTCTCTCTTTCTCTGAAGACCTCTAATACAGGAATTCAATTTACTGATATATCTTTATTAATTAGTTGAAAATTGGCTGAACTTAGGTCTCTAGATTTTAAATAGTTTCTCTTAGAATCTTCAAGGCAGCCGGGTGTAGTGCTCCATGCCTGTAATCCCAACAACCTCCAATACCTTAAAAAAAATCACTAAGGCCTATCTCTAAAAAATTCTAGTAATCTGTGATGTTTTGGAGAAATTGCAGTCTTTCCTGAATCTTGATCCTTGGTGTGAAATTGGGTTTTATTTTGTTTTCTTTGAAATCTGAAAACTTCTTTGCACTTTTTATTTATTTTTATTTTTGAGAGAGAGAGAGAGAATTTTTTATATTTATTTTTTAGTTTTCGGCAGACACACAACATCATTATTATTATTATTTTTTAATGTGGTGCTGAGGATCGAACCCATCACCCCGCGCATACCAGGTGAGCAAGTTACCGCTTGAGCCACATCCCCAGCCCCTGCACTTTTTATTTTTAAAGTACCTTTCCATTAAATATTAACAATTATTAACTGTATATCAATTACCTACCAATAAAGACATAAAACTAAAAGATGCTGAGTCCAATAAGAATTAAAATCAACTGATTAGAAAATTTTATTTTAAAGCCAGATTGTCCTGGGGTTCACCTCCTTGTTCTGATGTGTGAACCAGAACAAGATACTTAAGAAAGCCTTGTCTGAATTATCTTCATAGTTGTAGGATATAATATGGTATCTTAGGCTTTGTTATAACCTCACACCCCCAAAATATCTACATCTTAATCCTTGAAACCTGTGAATCCATAAATTTCTTACTTTACATGATAAAAGGGACATTGTAGGTGTGATTATGTCAAGGGTCATGACATGGATTGATTCTACTGTATTATGTAGGTGTGTCCAATGCAATCATCAAGGTTTTTGTTTGCAGGGGGTTAGTTACCAGAGATTGAACTCAAATGTGCTTAACCACTGAACCACATCCCCAGCACTTTTTATGTATTATTTGATACAGGATCTCTCTAAGATGCTTGGGTACTCTCTAAATTTCTGAGGCTGGCTGTGAACTTGCAATCATTCCACATCAGACTCCCAAGCCAATAGGACCACAGGAGTGTACCACCACACCTAGGTCCAGCAAGATTTGTATAAAAGAAAAATGAGATGATATAAGGAGAGAGCAGATGTGTTGACTGATGTTCAATTGATGTGACAAAGGACTCAGAAGCCAAGGGATGCTGGCAGAATGTACAGGAGGAAAACAAATAGGGTAATGGATCTCCCCTAGCGCCTTCAAAAGGAACCATCTCAGCTGACAGAATCATCTTAGCCCAGAGGAGATGGCATTGGATCATTGAACTTCAGAACTGTAAGATAGTTAATGCATGTTTCTCACTCATTATATTTGTAGTAATTTATTAAGGCAGTAATAGTGCATAACACAAATACTATTTATCTCATATGTTTATGAGAAAGAGTAATTTTTAAAAAGAGCAAATGGCAAAAGTAGGGTAGGGGAAATAGAAGTTCAATGATGGGGAAGGTGGTGGTGAAGGGAAAATTATAAATTTTGGTAAGATACTAAGAGTAGCATCATTGAGAATTATCAGATATAAGGCTACCTCTTGTTCCTTCTGTCAATACCTGATTGATATATTTTCTTTTGCCAATCAAGAATGTTAAAAATGGATACAATGTAGTTTTCAATTGCACTTTTTATTTTTAATCTAGTTCGATATGTTTTTTTGTTGACAAGTACTGATCACATGCACTATGGAGGTATATTGTGAAACTGTGATACATGTATACCTGGTAGCGTGATTAAATCAGGATTATTAACATGATCATCATCTCAACTATTTGTCCTTTATTTATGGGCTGGATATCTAATATCTCCCCTTTAGGAATTTTGAAGTATGCAACGTTATTGTGAACATAGTCACCATGTTCTGCACTAGATTATTAGAACCCATTCCTCCTCTCTGCCTAAAACATTGCACCTTTAACTAAATTCTCCTCTTTACCCATCCATTCACACTGTCACCCCTTCCCAAGTGGTAACCATTACTTATCACTACTCTAAGAGTCTGAATTCTTTATATTACACACAAAAGTGAAACCATGTGCCTTTATCTTCCTATGCCTGACTTATTTTACTTTACATAATTTTCCAAAGGTTTTCCTTGGTTTAATAGTGATATATCACAGTAATAATACACAAGAGTATTGAAATACAGAGTGGCTCATTTAAGTCTTATAATAAATAAGTGAATAGGAAGCATGCCCTTGTGACAACTGAGGAAACTCTCTCCAATGGGGGTTGGGTGGTCACTGGATTTCAAAGAAATAGAATGGTGAGAAGCAGGTCAGAGAAGACATGCCTGACAGAGAAGGAGATGGAGCATGCGCCAAAGAGAAGATTCCAGATGAGAGCACAGCAGCAGCCAGATTGTTCTTCATCAGACAGGAATGAAGCAGATTTGGTATGCCGGTGGAACAGAGACAAATCCATTGAAAACTGGGGTGGTATCAATATCTTTTGGGTCAACCACAGATTTCAGGTGAAAGTTCTGTAAAACGGTGGTCAGGAATAAGAACAGTTCCATGCGGGCCAGACCTTCTCCTGCACAAATACGTTTTCCTGAAAATAACCAAGATAGAAAGAGTTAATACTCCTTGAACAATGTATTTTTGACTGGCACAAGAAAAATGCAGAGTCGTTATTGGATGGATAGATGGATGTAAAAAGAGTAAATATGGGGCTGGGATTGTAGTGGAGTGGTCGAGCATTTGCCTAGCACATGTGAAGCACAGTTTGATCCTCAGCACCACATAAAAATATATTAATAAAATAAAGTTATTGTGTCCATTTACAAATAAAAATTTAAAAAGACTAAATATAAAGAATGGCTGATTAGAAGAATGAACACATCTGTTATCCACCAAATAATTTATCAGCACTTTTCATTCAATCAATATTCATTGAGCATCAGCTCTATGGCAAGAACTTTATTAACCATGTGGACATTAAAACTGTTCTTTTGACAGTTCATGCTTCTGTCAATCTTTTCCCAGAAACACAAGCTCAGTATGTTCCCTGTTTCACTCTGATGTTCCATGGTCTTTCCTCCCTTTCATCTGATCTGAATATTCTTATCAGCCTTAAACATACAATGCAATTTCATGCTATATCTCATGCTGTTCCTTTTTGACTAGGATGCACTTCATACATCTCTCAGATCCTAGATCAACTGCTCTTTTTCTTTTGCACTTTTTGTGATTCCTCCCGGTTGTAGATTCTCATCTTCTTTGGCTTTACTCAGCAATGAAGCCTAGATTATTTGAATAATTACTTTCTATTTTTCTAGTGTTCTGAAACAAGAGTTCCATTAAGGCAGGGCTCAATCTTTGTCATATTCGTATCTACATTGCCAGACCTAAAAGCAAGCTGAAGAGCCAAAGAATGAATTTAGGCAATGATATGCCAGAAACTCAGTATTACACTCATAAGGTGTGAAAGGCACCATATCCAAAGGAGGAACTAGATGCAGGGAGATCAAGGGGCACTGGTGTCCTTAAAGAATAATCAGCACATGATCAGGAATGAAACTCGCAGTGTTCATGCACTGTGTAAAATCAGGCTACAACATCATTACTGGGTTGAACTAGGGGCTTTGGGAAAATGGACATAGTTCATAGAATAGTAATCCCAAGGTTTGCTGACCCTCATTTTCCAGTCACAAAATTCTGGCATCCTTCTTCAAGAGCAAATATCCTAGTACTATGATTCATTATCTCCCTTAAAATGCTGTGTCTCTCTTCAGTCTATTTTCTTTGCCTCTTACAAGGCAGCTCTAATGTCCTTTCTTTTATTTGAATGTCACTCAATCTATTTTATGCCTCACTGTGTGCTATGAGTAAACAGGAAAGAGGCATTTTCTCCCTCTGCCATCATGAACAACCAATCCTTTTTTGCTCTCTCCCACGGGATTAGTCATGTTGTATTACAGTAATCTATTTATTTATATGCTTGGCTAACTGGAGTGTGGGACCCTTTTGGTGGCCCATGGCATGCTGTAGATACTTATCATACCTAGAGCTCAGGGGGAAAATGAGAGGCACCACATGAAATATACTTACCAAAGTTGTGGAGTTAGGTTCTTTTTACAGGGAAGATGAGGATAGTGGAGATGAATTTAATCTTCTAAGAAGAGTTCTGGGAGTGCAGTGTTGTATTTTGAGGCATGATTCAATCTACCCTCATTGTAGCTTTCTTACTTTGGAAGATCTAGTCAATTTTCCCAAAGCCCCAGTAGTCCAACCCAGTAATGATGTTGTAGCTTGATCTTGCACAGTGCATGGCACTAGGAGTTTTATTCCTGATCAAAGAACATTTCTACCAGCCCTCAAAATAAGCATTGTGTGAGTTTAACTGATCCCATGAAGGTGTTTTTTCCCCCTGAAGCACCAATGCAAATACATTTCTATTACCTGCTGAGAAAGGTATGAAGTAGTCACTCTTCTTGAATTTGCCTCTCTCATCCAGGAAATGACCAGGGTCAAACTTCTCTGGGTTGGGGAATTCTTTGTTGTCATGCAGCACAGATGTCAGTGATGTTATTATGGTTGTACCCTGCAATAAACAGTCACGGATAAACCAAGTTTTAAAGAAGTCATGGAGCTACAGGAAATGTTGGACTTTACTTAGTCCAAATGTTATGATAAGAAACCCTTGTCCAAAGAAGACCACTGATATTTCTTAGTTAGGCATCAAATAATAAAATGCATGAGTTTAAGGACAGTGCCTATGACATTGCTAAATTGTCCCCAGTGGCATTTGAAGTACTTGAGCACCAAACCTTTTGTTCTCCTTAACATCAAACTTGGATGCTGGTGTCTGCTCCTACTCAATACTCTATTTTGTCACTTTAGTTTTCACACATATTGAGTAGGATTATGCTTTAAAATCGGTCACTTTTGGCTCTTAAAATATCCAGGATATTGTTTATAAGATGATTCTGAGATAATAAAAAGTACGGCAAAAAACAACTGAATGTTTGACATGGTCACAATGTTTGGTTCTCCTTAGAAATGTGGGGGTGTCCTTTTTCACATAAATCCTAGGTTTCCACCCCCTAATGCAAAAGCAATGCTAAATTTAAAGTAAGCATAATTTTCAACAATTTGGTGAAGATCATCAATTAAGGCTAAAGTTTTTTAAGTATTCCATTTTTGTTTTAGTGAGTAAGTGAGGATGTTTATTTTTCCCCATTTTTTGGTACATTACAATTACACATACAGTGGGATTTTTTTATTTTACATTTAGACTTGCACATGATTTAATAGTATAATTTGGTCAGTATCCTTTCCTAGTACTTCTCCTTTTCCTCGCCTCTAAACTCCCCCTCAGTTCCTTTTGTCTTCTCCACTGATTTTCATCAATTGTAATGAGATCTCCTATAGATTTTTTTCCTATTCATTTTCTCTAACTTATACAGATAGCAGGAGACAATGTCCCTTGACTTTCTGAGTTTCATATTTTGCTTAACATAATGCTCTCAGCTTCTGTGTGTTTTCCTGAAAATGACATAATTACATTTTTTATGAATAAATAAAACTCTACTGTGCATATGTATCACATATTCTTTATTCATTCATCTGTTGATGGATATTCAACCTGGATCTTATGTTGACTTTTGTGGATAATGCTGCTACATAAATGGTGCATGTATCACTTTAGTATGCTGACTTTAAGTCTTTAGTAAAAATGCCGAGGAGGGGAGTATCAGATCATGTGGTGGTTCCTGAAGATACAAATGTTTCCTGAGGATATAAAGACAGATATGTCTTCAAAAATTTTAGAAGAACTGGGCACTTTTCATAGAGAAACTGATAGGCTGGGCATGGTGTCATGTGCTTGTAGCCCCCGCTGTTATGAAGGCTAAGGAATTAAGATTGCTTGAACCCAGGAGTTTGGAGCCAGACTGGGAAACATAGAGAAATCTTGTCTCAAGAAAATGAGAAGAAAACAAAGGAACATGTTTCATAAGCATTATTTGATATTACCAATAATTAATCTGAAATAAATCAACAACTTAATTGCAGGAGCTAGGGTTATTAAAATTTAAAAAAGAAGTATAAATTGTGCAATCCTGTGCCAGGAAATACCCTTTTTAATGTATGAAATAAAGCACAAGTTATAAAAGAAAAAAATGATTCTATCAGTTTAGCATAAAGTTAAAAATTATGCAATAATCTCAGTCTTAGGTATTTACTCAATAGAAAAGGAAATATATTACACCTCAACATTTTTACACAAATGTTCATATTGACTATATATATTTTTTAAAAAAAGCTAAAAACAACCAAAATTTTTCATCTCCTTATGAGTGAAAAAAAAACAACATTCATGGTATTCATTGTAATGGAACAGAGATCAGTAATAAAATAGAATGAACCATTAATACATAAAAATGAAAATGAATCTAAAACAGGTTCTGTTACATTAAAAAAACACAGAGATACATGAAAATATTTGAGAGACCAGCAGTGTATAAGGAAGGCATCAGGGGAGGAGGAGGGGAGGGCACAGGAAGGTACTGGGGAGTGAAATTGATGTTATTGTTATGTGCATGCATGAATCAGCCACAATGAAATACTCTATTCTGTAAAATTATCATACGTCAATAAAAAATTTTTAAAAGAAGCTTAGTTCTATATAAGAAGAGTATTGGAGAAAGAATAAATGAAGGCAAAACTGCCAGAGATAAAAAAAATTTGATTCTGTATTGTTTTGTCATATTCTATCATATGACTTTTGTGATAAATCCAACCATAGGTACGGAAAGCAGATCTGTGATCACCAGGGCCTGGAAGTGAGGAAGTATGATTGATTGTAGTAGGAGGATGAAGAAACTTTATGTGGTAATGGACATATTACATAGACACAGTGTCTCACTATGCTGTCTAGGCTGATTTCAAACTTGTGGGCACAAGCAATCTTCTTGCCTCAGCCTCCTGAGTAGCAGACTTTACAGTTATACACCATCATGCCCAGCAATATTTTATAACTTAATTGTTGTGGGGTTACATCACCGCATGTATTTGTCATAACTCAGTGGACTGTACCCATAAGAGAGTCAGTTATAGACTGGGGATATAGCTCAATAGCAGAATGCTTGCTTAGCATGCCCAAGGTCCTGGGTTTGATCACCAGCACCAACGAAACTAAAAGAGAGAGGGAATTTTATATTACATCACATTACTTAGAACTCCATTAAAAATAAAATAGACTGAGTAATATTCCATTGTGTGTATATATATCACATTTTCTTTATCCACTCTTCTGTTGTAGGGCACCCAAAATACAACCTACACTCATGTATAACTGAAAAACACAAATAAAGAAATAAAAATAGAATAAGGCATTGTATCAAAATGAATATATGGTGAAAAATAAGTCTCCCTCTCACTTTACCACAGAACATAATTTGGACTTTTCAGAAACAACTATTGCCACCAATTAGTAATATATTTCTTCATAATTAATCTATGCATGTAAAGCAAGTAGATCTCTATGTAACAGGATTATGCAACTTCTTACTTTGCTATTTTTTCATCCAACTAGCAGATATTCCAATGTATTTTCATTTTGTATTCAATAAAAAAATTTTAGATATGTTGATATCAGGATATATACATCCAGAGTATATATCCTGAATAACACAAATGTACTATTACACTGCTGATAAGCATTAGGCAATTTGTAAGATTTCTTTGTGACAAGCAACTATGTAATGAGAACATATTGGATATTCCTATTTGCACATGGAGTATATGCCAAAATTTAGACTTTCCACATTATAGTATATACATTTTATATTTGTTTTGAATTTTTAATAGGTACCAGAGATGTAAATGAGGGGTGCTTAACAACTGAGCTATATTCCCAGGTCCAGTTATTTTTATTTTTTTTATTATTTGAGATAGAGTTTTGCTTTGAAATTGCAATCCTCCTGTCTCAACTTCCTGAATTGCTATGATTATAGGTACATACCACTGTGCCTGACTTACACATTTTTTATTTTAATATATACTGCCAAATTATTCTTCAAAATGGGTGTACCTGTTAGAATCCTGCCAACAGCAGATGAAAGTGGTAATTTATACATAACTTCATCAACACATGTTTTTTTTTCAGCCTTTTGGCTGCATCAGTGATGCGGACAAAACCAAATTCTCCTAGTATTACCTTTTATTTTGTATATATTACCTGGCTGAATTCTTACAGCATTATAATGAAGCAAATAATGCATTATCAACAGTGTGCCAATGAGAAAGCCAAGACTCAAAGGGATTGGACATCTACCCAAGAGTAAGAGTTGCAGAGCTAGAGTTCATACTGAAGTCTTTCCTGTTCTTAGGTAAGATAAATTCTTAGATTAAGGTAACTTGCATTTCTAAGTAGCTGCCT